CTTTGGGGTCACAGATAGGATCCAAGCCCAGCACAGGCCCGCTATTGAGGTGTCAGGGGGTGAACCGGGGGGGGGTCAGCACTTGGATAACAGAGTCCTCGGTGCAGGGTGAAGGGACAGTGAGTGGGGGATGCTGCCCCACTCCAGCATCCCCCTCTGCACCTCCCCAGCCTCTGAGCATCCCCCCATGTCCCTCCGCACCCCCTGCCCCAGTCTGTCCCCTCGGTGCCACGCTCGCCCCTTACTGGGGGTGCTGGGGGGGTGACTGGGGGCAAAGCTCCACCCAAAACCACTACCACGAGGCGTTGAGAGCCGCGCTTCAGATCTTACCCCCAAGAGAGCCCTGCTCCAAGAGTAACTGCAACAGCTTCCAGGGCCGGATCCTGAGCGGGGGGAGGCTGGGGTAGCTCCACACCCAAACCACCCGGGGCTGCACCAGCGGGAGAGATCGGAGCCCCAGGGAAAACCGTGCTGGAAAGATGGAGCCTTGCATCACCGGGCAGGCATTGCAGCTCAGCTCCTCATCCCCGCAGCGCGGGCTCGGCCGGGAGGGAAGGAATGCAGCGACCTGCTGCTAATATTTCATCCCGGTGGCTTTCATCCCATGGAGATCTTGGTGTACCCAAGCATGGCTGATCCCGGGGTGGGAGGAGGTGGCCAGGCAGACAAATGGGTTGTATCTGGGGAAGGAAGAGATCTTTAAGCCAGCAACACCCGCCCAAAGCTGTCTGCTCTCGAAATATGCCTTCGGATTGTTAATGTCCATGAAAAAAAAAACCAGAAAGGAAAAGAGAGAAAAAATAGAAAAAGCTTTGATAAAAAAGGGCCTTTTTGGAGCAAGAGGGAGTCACTTCTGCAGGGGCCTCCTGCAAGGCTGAAGGCATCTCAGATAACATCCACAGCGGGATGCACTGAAGAGCAGGTGGGTCCCCCAGCCCTCAGGTGGGTCCTGAGGATGGGTAGGGGACATCTGGGTGTCCCCCCAGGTCTCTGCCCTGTTTTTCCCCCTGACCCAGCACAACACCCTGAGCCCTACACACAGGACATGTGACAGCTTGGCACACCAAGGCCAGCATGGTGGGCCACAGGATGCTCCAAGGGCTGCATGGCCTAAAGGAGAGGGTGACGATCATGCCGTATCCCCATCCATGAAGGGACGGAGGAGGAAGGTGGACTTCAGCTCACTTTAGGGAGAGAAAATCCTGCTTTGGGGTGGAGGTGGACAAAGCAACCTCTGCAGGTCCTTCCAGCTCAGGATTCTGCTCACAAAGAGATGCACTGAACCTCAGCAACCCCTTAGATGCTCCAGTCAAGGCCTCTGCCCTCCTCCCTTCATGCTTTCGGTGGGACAGGTCCCATCGCAGGTCTGTGGATGGTGGCACCCACAGCACCACAAGGCGCTGATGCTGCAGAGCAGCTCCCCAGGGAATGAGCCTCAAAGCAACCTTTTGGAACGCTCTCTTGGAAGATGGATCTTCCCAGAGCATCCGTCACAACCTGCGGGCAGGGTCCACCTCTGCTGGGGGGATTTTGCCACTAAATTGCTCGCCACCAGCTGAACAGGGCTATTTGGGCTGCACAGGGGTGCTTGGACACCGCTGGCCGCCCTGACCCTCCCCATGCTCTGCCTGGCAGGGGAGCCGGCTCATCCCGTGATCCCCACGAAGTGCCTGCACCCCAGCTTGCTCCGGAGAGCGCAGCGCTGGGCGCCCATGGCTGCTCTCGCACAGTGCCACCTTGTGGGTCCTGCCACGGAGCTGGAGCCAAGGCAAAGGCAAACCACAGCAGACGAGGGCGTCTCGGTCCGGCGGCGCATCTGGCTCCATCCACAGCATCACTGATGTCATTGTGCTCCATAAACACGGCCTGGGGGCAGGAGGAGGAGGCTGCGCTGGAGCGGGGATGGGGGTGGCGAGCGTCTGCCTTTGGAATGGCTGGGGACGGGTAGGAGCCTGCTGAGCCTCGGTTTCCCCATCTTTAAGCGCCGGGGTAACGGGCTCTGTTTTCCTTTCCGGGGTGCTCAGGGAACCGCTTCACGACGCTGTCAGTGGCTCCACCGTGTGTCCGTACCCAGGTCAAGAGCTGTTTTGGGATGGGACACCCAAAACCCACCTCCTGATCCAGCAGCAGCAGCCTTCACCTCCCACCGGGCTCTGAAGGCTCCCTGCCTCGCTGTCATGAGACATCATTTAAAGAACAAACCCCCAAACAAATGGGTTTGGCTTAAATTTCACGCCTGGGTCTCTTTTCTCACCCCACAAGGGCCAGAATCATCCTTTGCAGGTTGTCTCATTCCGCTGTTTTGGGGCACCAGGTCCCTCCAGACCCACTCCCAGCCCCTGGCACCCTGTGGGGTGGATGAAGCCAAACCCTGCCCCACTTATCTCCTGCCCCAGGGCTTTTCCATGGCAGCAGCTCATTGAGATCCCTGTGATAGCTGCAACCCCATGGACGCAGCAGAGGCGCTGCTTGGGTTTGCTTTTGCAGGCAGAAAGAGGGATCAAACAAATGGAGGTCCCTCCATGCTGTAGGGTGGCCTGGGGACAATGAGCCTTGTCCAGGGTCTCTGGGTCCAGGATCAGAGCCACCCAGCACACACAGCAGTGAGAGCACCAGGGTGGACTGAGGTCGGACAGCTCAGCACAGCAGCGAGCTCCACGTGTGGGTACCACAGAGCCTGAGGTACCCCCCTGAGCCAGGCTCAATTGATGCAGCACCTGTAATCCTGCATCTGTGCTGCCACACTGAGGATGAGGAGCAGCTGGGAGCATCTGCATCCCTGCTCCACAGACCAGGGCCACACTGGGGCTCAGAGCTGCTCTACGTGTCCTGATCACCACGCCTGGGGGATGTTTTCCCCCAAAGCCAGGTCGAAGCCTCCCCCAAAGCCTCCATCATGGCCAGTGCTGCTGCTCCAACCCCTTGCCACACACTCAGCCCCAGTCCTACACCAACATCTCCAGATGGTGCAGAGGTGCTCAGGGAACCTGCTCTGCTCCTTCATGGCTGCCACTGCAGCACGGATGAGTTCAGGTCACAGCCACAGTGATACCCTGGTGACACCTCCAGTGCTGGTGCATCTCATCTGGTCCCATCCATCCTGTTTCTTCCCCTCTTTCTTATGCTCCCCAGGACTGATTCAACCCTGGAGATACCAAAGGAGCTACAGAAGATGGGAGGGAAGGGAAGAGGCAGCCACACTCCCAGCCAAGCCTGCTCCTAAGTGGATACCCAGCAGCTGAACTCCCCTGGGGCTGCTGGAAAACTCTGGTCCTTCTCCAGAGGGGATCTCCAGACTCCCAGTATCCACCAGTGCTCCAGATAGGCCACCAGCAATAGAACCGGGTGTTGTGCAGAGGAGCAGATGCTGTATCTTACCAGTTTGCATGCCAGTGTGTGTACTGGTTGAACTGGTCCAGGCTGGAAGATCACCTCCATGACCATGGAGGTGGAGGAAGGTCACCACCTTCACCATGCTGAAGCATCCTGAGCGAGGCCCTTGCAGGGGCTGGTGCTGGATGGAGGAAGTGAATTAGGGGATGAAGGGAGACAGAAGGACACCAATGGGGATGGACAGGCCAGGGAAGGACAGAGACATCGATCCCATGGGTGCCAAGAACCCATTGCTTTAGCTCTTTCCAACCCCAAATCCCAGAGAGCCCCCAAAGGAAACAGAGAGAAGAGTCATGGTGAGAAGAGATTTGGTAAGAAGAGACTTTAATCAGACTCCATTACATCTGTTACAGGGTTCTCTCCACTGCTGAGGAGTCGGGCCGGCACGGCACGCGTGGTAAATACACCGGCTACGAGGATACATGGGACAAGTTACTACGAGATCTGTGCTTTTACCTGTACAGGAGGGGTTCACCAGCGTTGTGCTTGCCCACAGGGAGGTGGCCACATCCTGCATGATGCCGTGTGTGTCCGTGTCCCCCCCTGGCCACCAAGGCCACCCTGCTCTTCTGGGTGAGGCCCAGGCTCGGGGCAGGATGGGGATGAGAGGAAGGCAGTGGGGGTTGCTCCGTGGAGGAATTGGGGGTTGCTCCATGGAGGGGTTTAACGTGATCTGACAGGGTCTGGGAGGAGGCCGGGGGGGGGAAGCAGGGGCTGGTTTGGAGGGGAAAGAGCCAAGGGACACCCAGGGATGGTGCCAATAGCAGAGGACACCCATCTCCAGCCATCCCCATCAGGGTGAAGGGCAGTTCCAGCCCCACCAGGGCACCAACAGCAGATCCGATACTCTGGATGGAGCATCCCAGATCCAGCCCCCAGACCCACAGCACCACCAGCACCAGCCATCCCCTCTCCAGACCCACTGAACCCCTCCCCAGCTCTGTCCCCAAGGGGGAGACAGTGGTTTGACCCCTCCTGATCCACCCAGCACATCCTTGTCCCCCACCATCCTGCTCTGAGCAACGGGATCCAGGCTGGGAACCGAGCAGGACAGGGATATCAGCAGTGGGTTCCCCCTCCTTCTCCCACTGCCTGGAGGAGAACTGAAAAGTGCCTGTGCTCACAAGTAGCAGCTATTCCCTGTGCCTCTGCGGGAGAAAAGAGGGGAACAAGTGATTTCTAGGGCTAAAAGCTACTGAGGATCAGCCCGACCCGCAGCTCAGGACCCCGAGGAGGTGTGTGGAGGGAGAACCTGCCCCGGTGAGCAGGAGAAACTCCCCCAGGCTCCAAAAGTGACCGAGGACAGCAAGAAAGTGAATCCCAAACAAACCCATCCACACGGACACACACACGGCATCTACGGACCAACACGCGCACGCTCACACGGCAACGACACGGATCACTTCCACTTGTAACACACACCCCCCCACCCCACAACCCGCGTCCAACACCGAGCAAGTGCCACGAAGGAATACAGTATTGCCACAGATAAAAAGGAAGGTGTCAGCCCTCCTCCTCCTCCTCCTCCTCTCTGCTGGATGCCCCAGAGCTGATGGATGCCCTGGGCTAAGGGGGGGGGGGGGGAAGGAAGAGCCACACATGAGAAATCAAAAGGTAGAAATAGGTCCCAATATACAATGAGAATGGATCTGTACAGCACTGGGACTGGAAATAGGTCACGGGCCACTTTGGGATATGTTTTGTCATTTAACAGCATTTACAGTAACATTTACAGAATAAATATACAATAGAAATAGAGACTCTCTAGGTTATGATTCCATCTCCTCTCTCTGTATATGCTTTATGTATCTATATAATAGAGCTTCTGTTGTTACCTTCTTATTGACTTTGCCTCTTACTGACGCTGCAAGAAGAGGGGAGGAAAGCGAACGCCTCCCTGGCTGGCTTGGGAATGGTGATGGGAGAGATGGAAGGCTGGATCCTTCCTCCGAGGGTCTGAGGAGCATCACGCCATGGGAGCAGATGGGACTAAGCCCTTTGGTGTCCTGCTCTGTGAACTCCATGGGAGCTGTGGTAGGAATCCAGCCCCGCGCTTAGGGGTATTGGGAAGGTGACTTTGGGCAACGATTTGGCTCATCCTCTGTCTGGTTGGGGAAAGGAAAGTGGGGACTGAGGGAGAAGAGATGGGAGGGAACATCCTGCCTAATGATGGGGAAATGCCACAGGGTTTGTGCTTCTCCCGGTCAGAGACTATGTTTGATGTCCCTTTGCATGGGCAGGGGAAGGAGAAAGGCAGCAGCGGGGATGGTGAAGGGGGGACCACTACAGGAGAGCCCCCACAGGGCTGGCACTTCTCAGAGCCATCAAAGACTGAGCTGCTTTGGCTCAGGCCGTGTCTCCATTTTCCCCATGGCAAATGGTTAACGAAGGGCCTGAGCTAATTGTCCAGGAAGAGTCTTAGGGTCCCCAGCCAAGCCCATGGAGAAGAGTTGTAAAGGATCACAACCCACAAAAGAAACGTCATTGAGGGGACCTCCTGGCCTCAGGGGTGGCAAGAGAAGGTACCTTCTGACTTCACCTCCCAGCCAAAAGGAGAAACATGGTGGAGTAAAACCCATTGACACGAAAGCAGAGGAGTAAAGGGCTCATGGGCAAGCACCCACAAACTTGGCCTTCAGACTGGCTTGAAACACCATCATGCATGACCTAAGCCCAGCAGAACCAAGGATGAGGAGTTCCCTCAGCTTTTGGAGGCCATAGTAACATGCTGAGAGGAGAGAGGGGGCAAACAAGCTGCTGCTCTCCTGTCCCGTTTGGGAAAGAAGGAAGATGCCACCTAATACTTGACAGCAATGCTTGGCTACATGTAGGATTCAAGGAAATGACCCTCAGGTGCCGTGGGAGAGACTCGGAGCTGGGAGATCCCAACCTTCCCTAGAGAGCCTGTGGAAAACCAACATAAGGTCCCATCAGTCTGGTCCCCAGGCAATGTGGACGGGGATGATCGAAGCCCCTGGGCTCTAACAAGGGCTCACCAGCCTGGATCGAGAGCTAGCGGGGACACCAGGACCTGGCACTGATTCCCAATAACTGCTGCTCAGCAGGTGCCTGCTGCCCCCAAGAGCTGGTTACCCCCACCTGAAGGCTGGTGGGCTCCTGTGGAAGTGCAACAGGAGGTGTTAGAGACCTCCTGGCTTGAAGCTATGAGAAACGAGGACGTGCCCAGAGCTAATCCCTGCCCGGGTCACTGCACTGGTGGGTGCAAGGGAGGTAAGTCAGGAGGTGGTTTCCTGAGAGCTAAACCTGTGGTAGCACTGGATGCCCCTGGAGAAGCCGGATGCTTCCCTGCTTGTCCCTCTGGGACATCTAAAGAATGTGGCAGGAGGAGAGGCTCACCATGGCAGGGGTTTGGTTCAGCAGAGGACCCCACATCTCAGGAGTAACTCCAAGAGAGCATTCCTGACCCCCATCATGGGAACCCCACACGCTCGCCCATCTCAATCACCCTCACTTCGAGGTCCTTCTGCCACTCAGCACAATAACTGCCCAGCCATGGAGCACCCCATGGATGTGACACCTCCATGGCCCACAACAACCCACAGACACTGTCCCCATGCTGGTGGCAACACAACAGATACCAAGGATCCACCATCCACTGTCTCACACCTTGCAATGTCTCAGCCAGCCCCGTGCTGCTCCCTGGCAACCCTGGTCAAAATGTGGGGGTTATTTAGGTGTGTCCACAGCTATAAAAACCTACAGGAGATACAACAACAACAACGATGGTGACAACAACAGCACCTTTTTGTGCTCCGAACATCGATGGGTAATTGTGCTCGTTGGAATAAGGCCATGACTCCTCCCGGCTAAAGGACAACAGAGTGGGAGGGAAGAGCGCTGGGTGACAGGAGGAAGTGTGCTGGCTTTCCACCTGCCTCCAGGTCCTTTTTCCAACCATCAGCTGCTTAGAAAAGAGCTTCTTTGCTTCAGGTTTGAGCTGCATTGAGAACAACTCTTGGAAAGGTATCGCAGCATCTCTTGTTCCTCCTCCCATCCCCGAAGGCTCGGGGAGATCCTGCCTTTCCACCCAGGGTTGTTGGAGGAGTCCTGCCCCTCCCGCAATCCCTTCTTCCTGATGTCATCCTAGAAATGGCTGCTTTTGGTTACGATTTTAAGAGGGGTTTCTTCATCTTCCTTAGTAATTTTCCTGTTGCCTGGACAGCCAGGATCCACTCCCCAGTGACCTCCTCTCCCGGTGGGGGTGGTCCACAGGCAACCATCACAGTTCGGATTCCGGGGTGCTGGCCAGCATGTACCCGCTCCCATATCGTCCATTGGGGGCACTGCTCATTTCCATGGGGGAATTGCTCCCAGGACCCAGGTAGGAGCGGTGTGTGGGCATGGGGGACGGGGTCTCGCTGGGCACTTTGCTCAGGATGAAGCGGGTCTCATCATTGTCTTCCAAATTGGAGATGTCCTTCATCATCCGGCCCTTCTTGTAGGTGACAGAGAGGGCATTGGAGCCGTCCGACACGAGGTGGAACTGCCGGAGGATGAAGACCAGGGGCAGAGGGAGGGATGCCAGGATGATCAGAGAGATGAGGATGGCCATGGCCCAGGTTGGGTAGAAAAGGAACTTCTCTGCAGCCTGGAAGAGACAAACACCAGTGTCAAGGGGCTGTTACAGCAAAGGGGATGCACACCGTCTCTAGGCAATTCCTGCTGCCACTCTTCCTCCTCAGGGGCACCACGTGAAGCTGTCAGAAGGTGGGTTCAAATCAAGGGAAAGGCCATGGTCCTGCACACAGCGTGTAGCTGTGGAAGCCAACCAACGCCAAGCTCTCACGTCAGAGCTGGCTGAAGGCTTCTGAGCAATGTGGACAAACCTCATGGCTTGCAGAGGATGAGTGGCCACAGGCAGGATGTCTCCCAGCAGGAGAGGAGAGGAGAAATGAGCAGAGCAGTGAAGTTCCTTATTGTGAGGGTGCTGAGGTGCTGGCACAGGGTGCCCAGAGAAGTAAATGCCCCATCCCTGGCAGTGTCTAAGGCCAGGTTGGACACAGGGGCTTGGAGCAAGCTGCTCTAGGGGAAGGGGTCCCTGCCCGTGGCAGGAGTTGGAAGTGGATGAGATCAAGGTCCTTCCCAACCCAACCCATTCTATGATTCTATGAGCAGGGTGCTCTGCAACTTTCAGCTGCTCCCTGCTCAGCCTGGACCACAGTGGGAGGTGATGGTGGGGAAGGGATCTGTGCTCACCTCCTCTTTGATCCACGCACTGTAGCCCGGGGGACTGACTCCCAGCTGGATGATGCTGGCGGTCATGAGCACGGCCATGCAGATGGGAGAGACGTACTTCCAGGTGTAGTAATAGAACTGGTAGGGCCGGAAACCCAGCATTTCCGTCAGCTCCTGCATGAACCTGCCGAGAAGAAGAGATGAAACCATGGCACTCCCCACCTACAAGTAAGAGACTCCCTCCCAGGAGCCCCCATTGTAAATTATGCTCAAGGTAGAGCCTGAGGAAAAACGCAGCTGATCCAGACAAGCATCCCAGTGTCCATCAAGCCTGCAGGATTGGTTGGAAACCTCCTAAGGAAAAGGCCATTTGAACATTAGCCAGAGCCCCCTTTGCCCTGGCCAACTCATGGGCAGCAAGAGCAGGCACTAAAGGGAACAAGGTTTCTTTCCAGAGGGACCTGGAAACCTCAGATAAAAGGGTAATTGCAACTGATAGAGCACTATAACCAACAGCAGATACCCAGTAGAAGGACTTGCTCCTGGGGCTGGGCTACACTTAGGGCAGGACAAGAGAATCAAGGTGAACCAAATGTCTGCCTATACTCCTCTCCTGGAGTATTTGCTCCATCAGAGCTGGCCTCTTGGGGAAGAAATCATACGGAAAAGAGCTAGAAGGAGGGTTTTGAAAGGCAGGTGTTAACAGCACCTGTATGAAAGCCAAGAGTTACAGCAAGAGTATTCGTGTTGCACAAAAGTCTTACTTCTTGGTGCCGTAAATCCAGGCCACAGCGATGTTCTCCAGGATGACCACGACCGTGAGCGGCAGCGTGGCTGAGTAATCATCGAACATGGTGACAAAGTAATTCCCAGAGCGCTGCACAAAGATCAGTCCCACCACGAAGGCGAAGATGCAGGAGCCAACTGTGGGAAACAACCAGGCACGGTCAGAGCATCCCAAGGGGAGGCAATGCCTCCACCACAAGGTGCATCCCCTGCATTAGCAGGGTCCAGTTACATGGCCATGATGTCCACGCTCCCCTGGAGTTACTCCCCAGGACAACAGGGACCCTCCGCCCCTTCCCAAGGAGGTTGCAGGAGAAAAGACCTCACCTGTGAACACTTCCTTCCGCACCTTGAAGGTGTCGATGATGGGTGTCGTGATGCCTGACATGGTCCCAATCATGCTGCCCAACCCCAGGTTTATCAGCATCAGGAAGAACATCACGGACCAAAAAGGTGAGGCTGGGAAGTGGGTCATGGCTTCTGTGAAGGCAATGAAGGCCAGGCCAGTTCCTTGCACCGACTGTTCAGGGGGAGAGAGGACCAGAGGATGAGAAGGAACATGCCCGGGTCAGCCTGCAAGCCCCTGCATGCCTCACTGAACCACTCTCTGGCTGCACAGGGGGCTGGGTCATGCTTTGCCTTGAAAGGTTGGACCAGATGACCCTTGAGGTCCTTCCAACCTGGGATTCTAGGATTCTTCAAGGAAAGAAAAATCCAGTCTGGATCCAAGCCTGGAAGCGGTGATGACCTTCCTAGACTTGCTATGGACAGTGCTTTTCCCCACCCCAGGAAGGACCGCTGTGTGCTGGGCAAGACCACAGGGAATCCCCATCCCTGGAGGGTCCCTAAAAATACTTTTTCCCAATCCATGTGCCAGGAGTGACACAAGTGGAGCAGCTCCCACCAGGGAGAGCCAATGGGGAAGGTGACCTCCGGGTCCTCCCAAGATTCCCACCAGGTACCTTGTTGAGTTCATCCTCCAAGAGGCAGGGGTCCAAGCCCAGCTCTTTGAAGTGCGCCTCTTTCACGGTCATGATCACCCTGTACATCTCGTTGTAGTCTTTGGCTGTGAGGTGGGAGAAGTTCACGTGGGGTGGGATGAGGTCATGGCTCAGCACGTTGGTGTTCAGGTAGCCCAAGATCTTCTCAGCGTTCCTAAGGGAGAGAGGAGCCTGGTCACCAGGGATGTCCCATTTCTCCCAGGGTAGAGGATGGGGCCTGACCATGGCAAGCCCTTTGCTCCAGGCAGGATGAACCTCCCTGGGTTGTGTAACCCATGTGTTGGTCAGAGGACCTCTATTGTAGGTAAACAGTGCTTTAGGCCACGTAACAGAGGATGATGACAGAAGCCCACCAGGGAATGGGTTCCCTGTGCTTCCTTCTCAGGTTTACCTCCTGCTCTGGGGCTCCACACTGCATGGCCCAGATGTTTTATGGATGCAGCTCAGTGCCTAAAGATAACACGGAGTGCATAAAGTCACCTTCCTCCAGCTGCTTCTAGGCACAGCTCAGCAGGTCCCTTCCCCTTGCAGACAAGTGGACCCTATGATGTGCAGGAACCGGAGGATAAGCCGGGTGGTGTGACCAGACATGTTGGATTTACCCTCAGTGTGCATATTAAGAGCCCATTTTAGGGCTGGATTTTAGGCTGGAGGAGCTGAATACCCAACTCCCTCAGAGACACCTCTGGAGATCCAAGTCTTGACCATCAGGAGTTTGTGTCCCCCAAAACACAGCATTACCCAGCTCCAGAGCACTTACTCTATTGCCTCCAGACCCACCACCACCACTAGCAAAGACCTGCCCACCCCAAACAGAAAAGCATCAAATCTTACTCCACCACACATTTCTCATTCATGATGTTGGCCTTGAAGCCCAGCACAGCAAACACAACCAGGGTGGCCAGGACGGACGTGAAGAAGTTGATGAAGGAGACAAGGGTGGCATCAAAGTGGCAGTTGTTGTCCTGCTTGTTGTAGCTGGAGAAGGCGATGACTCCCCCAAAGCCCAGCCCCAAGGCAAAGAAAACCTGTGTAGCTGCCTCCCGCCACACCTGGGGGTCCAGCATCTTGTCCAGCTTGGAAGGAAGACATAGGAAGAAGTTGTTAAGTGGCTTGGTGGCCCCACAACTCATCCCAGTGGAGCCAGAGCTGAATTAACAGGTTGGTTTGGGAGCAGCCATGGACATGCTTTGATCTGCCCCGTTCAGGTCTTGCATTACCCAGCTCTTGTAGGTCCTTTTTCTCTTTCCCACAGAGGGGGGAACTGAGGCATGGAGGTGGGCAGGGGAAAGTCTGATCTGACCATGTCTTTGGGTGCTCCATCTGCCCCAGAGCCCAAGCTGGATGTCCAACCTTCCAGTGCAAAGCTCTGCAGCTTCCCAGTGGACCACCCAGCAGCCCTGGGGCGCTGGTGTCCCTGTCCCCCCACCTAAGGGCTCCACGTGTCACCCAGTGGTGGTTCTCCATCCTCCCCTGGACATCTCCTGCCTCCAGAGAAGGGAGCACTTGAAATCAAACATCTTGGCTGCTGGGTTTGTTTAACCTCCCAAACCACATTCCCCCCATCTCCTGCGAGCCAGAGCTGGAGGCCTTTGAGCACCATACGCCACGAGATCGTCATTAATATCTTCTAAGAGACTCTAACACCAGCTGAGATCATTCATCAACATCGCTGCTTGATTCATTAATTAGCTGGTTAATGATGCCACCAACAGAGGGTTTGCTGCCAGCCAGCATCTTCCCATGAAGTCTTTAATAGGCCACCTTGGGCCACCCCCATGTCCCCACCCTGGCATCTGGGCACCTAAAAGTGACAGGAGTGATGCTGAGGCTCAAAGCAGCCCCAGGGTAGGGAGTTCACAAGGTTCTGGGCTGTCCTGGCCATACCCTGTGTTTAGGGTGCTGCTGGCACATCCCGATGCCATATCAGGACCTCTGGTGTAGTTTGGGGTTGGTACTCTGGGTTTAGGGGTGGGAAATAGGGCTGTGACCAGCCAGGAGAACCTGCTTAGGGTCTGCTGGGCTTGGGGGCTCTCACCTTGGGTGTGAACATGTGCATGATCCCATCCACTGCCCCGCGCAGCAGAAGTCCCCGCACCAAGAAGCAAACCAGCACCACGTAGGGGAAGAGTGAGCTGAAGTACATCACCTACGGCAAGAGGGATGCAACATGGGCATGATCTCACCGCCTCCCATCCAACCCAAGGACAGCACAACAGGGGTTTGCCCTCCCCAAAACGAGGTCTGCTCCTCAGGCAGTGCAGGGTTAAGCTGTGGAGCTCCCCAGTGCAGGATGTTACCAGGGCAGGGCTGCAGTCACCGTCCCTGCAAGTGTTCACACACCATGTACACAAGGCCCTCAGTGACATGGGTTAGTAGTAGCCTTGGCATTGCTGGGCAATGGTTGGACTGGATAAGCTTAATGGTCTTTTCCAACCTGGTTGATTCTGATTCTATAAGTGCTGAAGTGGATTTGCACTGTGCTTGGAGACACTTCATCTCTTGGGGCTGCTGAACATGCAGATGTTGGTGTTGGCTCAGGAAAGCCCTGTAACACAAACTGCTGGTGCCCAGAATGCTCAAGGGAAGGAGAGCTCTACGCCCCCATCTCCTTCCCCCAGGGCTGCGGGTTCCAGGCATGTTCCTGCTTCCTAGCATGATGGGCAGATGCAGATGGGACTTTACTGTGGCCAGGGAAAACCTGCTGCTGGGGTCCTGCTTCCGCAGCTCACTACATCCCTCTGCTCTCAGGGTCGCAGGGCAGGGGTCTCCTTGCCCTCTGCTACCTGCTAACACACCAGATGTTTTGTAGAGCACATCTGGAGACAGGGATGCTCAAGTGTCCCAGGAGACCGTACCCTTCTGCATCCCACCCCACTGCTTACATAGCCTTGCTTGAAACATCGGTGGCCTCTGCAGGCCAACAGCATCTTCTGCTCCTCCCTGCCCTGCTTCTGCGCAGAGACTCGGTGCTCCTGCTGCAAAGGAGGGCTCAGATCTCACCCCTCCATCCTAGGAGCATCCTAGGGTGGGGATCAGACAGCTGATGGCCCTCAATGCAGGGGCTGGGCAGCTGACTTGGTTACCCTGATGTGGCTGGAAGTGTCAGCTGGACTGAGCCTCTTCCCTACACCCTCTTCTGATCTTGTTGTGGATCCCCTCAGAGAGAGCCCCAACTCTGGAGGGGGTGGGAGCATCCCAAGGGACACAGCATTGCCCAGCCACCGAGCTCAGGGCAGGACACTGTGGTCCAGGCAGGAGGTTCCTGCCTTGAGGACAGAGCCCAGCCAGGCTCAGGTGGCCACCCATACCCACCTTCCCTGAGGACTGGATGCCCTTGATCATGGCCAAGCCAACAAGGCTCCAGGCCACCAGCAGGCACAGGGTCATCTTCCAGTTGAGCCCCCCGCTCTCCGAGATGGAGTTGGAGATGTCCAGGGTCTCCCGGTACCAGAAGTAGGTGGTGGCCGAGCTCCTCTCGCATTCGGTCTCCACAACTGCAACCAAGCATAGGCATGGGGGAGAGTCACCATCATCTCTTAGGGGATGAACACCAGCTAATGTCAAAGACCTGCTGGAGCTGGCCAGAGGGGGACAGGAATTCACGGGGCTCATTGTTAGCAGGAAAAGGAGGGGATGGGCCATAAAGCCCAAATGAGACATTAAATACAGGGAGAGACATTTGCATGTGCTATAAAACGTCCCAGAGTGTCCCAAGGAGATGCTCAGATGCTATTAAACACCATTAGCTCCATCAGCATCTCGGTCAGGCTCTGATGGAGCAGCCAGGTGGGCCCTGCCTAGCTCTTGCTGCCTCCCTCCAGGATCCTGGGTCAGATCCCATCTCCAAGCACTGGGGCAACCTGGAGACCCAAGCTCTGAATCCCCAAACTCATCAAACCCCATCAGTGGGGACAGACCCCAAGGGGGGAAAAGGCTCATCCAGCCCAAAGAAAACATCTCCAAATGATCAAGGCAGCTGGACCAGAGGGTACCCAATGACCCAGGAGACATCTCGACCTCCAGTGTGCCCAACCTGTGACTTATGTTGGGTGTCCCCAGTGTCCCCAGTGTCCCACAGCTCCCTGCTTTGGGGACTGCTCCCCCCCTGCCAGCTGCCATCCCTTACCAGCCACGGAGCCGTTCTTTACGATGGGACACTCGCTCCAGGGAAGAGGGTACTGGAAGGACTTGAAGAAGTAGAAGATGCTCCAGCCGATGATGACATTGTAATAGAGACCCACAAAGAAACACACCTTGGAGGAGGAACAAGGACATGGTATCAAATCACAGCTCACTGACACTGCCCCCAGCACACCTCTGGCTGGATGGGGACCCAGGGCCCATTTCCAAACCAGCCCTAAACCCAGGAATGGAACTGGAAAACCTCCCTTTGTCCTCTCAAACCTTCACACGGGGCCCCTCAAGGTTTGCTTCCAGGCTCCCCTCCCAAGCTTTGCAGCAGAACCTCCCTGAGGTAGGGGTCCAAAGGCACCCATGGGTGCGCTCACCAGGCAGCTGGCATAGCCAATGCCTCCCAGGCGCGGGCAGATGTAATTCCAGACGCCGATGCTGCCCCGGCGGATCCGCTGCCCCACTGCCAGCTCCAGGAAGAAGAGGGGGAGCCCGATGATGATGAGCAGGACCAGGTATGGGACCAGGTAGGCACCTGGCAGGGGGGAGAAAGCTCAGCATGGACCCACCTCTGCCTGCTCTCGTGCAGCCAGGGATGGAGGGGCAGGCTCTGCCTGGTCCATCGGTTCATTTGCAATGGATCTGGGAACGCAGATCAGTGCTTGGGCAGGAGAACTCAGCCATGGAGAGGAGCGAACGCTTGTGCATGTGTGCAACATCCCCTGCCAGCATGAGCCTGTGCGGAATAAACCCCAACACACCTAAAGACACTGGATCCGTGCATACACATCACCTCCCACACAAGGAGACACCTCCATGAGCCAGCCCATGGAGACGTGCACATGGTCCCGACCGTCCTGGATACCTGTTCACCCAGGTCCTGCTGGCACACACATATCAGAGCACAGCCGAGCCCTCAGCATCAACACATCCCCCCATAGACACCCCACATTCCCAGCAGCAGCATCCCGGTGCCACCGGCACGGAGCGAGGTGCCCTGGTAGGAGCAGAATTCATCTCTGCCTAATTGAGGAGGCTGAAGGGGAATTAGCAGCTCCCGAAGCAGAACCCGATGACCGTAAAGGCTGCAATGACTCACGCTGCAGCGCCCGGCTGATGGATTGCTCCGGCTCCTGCCAGGAGCGGAGGAACGGGCTCGGGAGCTCACGACCGGCAGGTGATCCACGGGCACATGAGGGCCCCTGGCTGCGTTGGGCAAATTCCCAGCTGGATTTATGCCCCAGTGACAGCCACCACCCCCAGCTCCGCGCAGGACCTGTGGCAGATGATGCTGCTCCGAGCAGGGCCACTGCAATAGCGTCCTGAGCCAGCGGGTTGGGATTGAGAGAATCATGGAATGGGTTGGGTTGGAAGAGCTTCTGCCTGTTGGCTCATCTCAGTATCCTCTCTGGCAGGTTAAGGCTGTTCCCCTTGTCCTCTCCGGGTTTCTTGTTTGCTCTTTCAGGTGTAGGTAGATTGATAAATGGGGAAACTGAGGCACGGAGAACTGGCTTGAGCAGCAGATTGCTGAGCTTTCCTGAGCTTTCCCTTTTAGCCGGGTGTTATCCCCATGGGGCAGACACTGATTTTCAGCCTTCTCTTCCCACAATATTTAACCCTCTTGGCTCCTGTCCTGTGAGGCTGGTGCCAGGCTGATGGATGAGGGAGCTGGGCAGTGATGGGCAGACGCTTCTGGGTGTGCTGAGCAGCCCTGGGATGTGGTGATGGTGGTGGTGGCTGGTGTGGCAGGGGTTGGACTGGATGAGCTTTAAGGTCCTTTCCCTCCCAACCCACTCTGTGATTCTCTATGTGTAAACCAGGGGCAATGGTGGGTGCTGTTTGTAAAGCCTTTTTGAAGACCTGCTCCCAACTCCAGCTCTGTGTCACACTCTCTTCCCATCTCCTCCACTGCAGCAGGTCTCAGGCCTCTTGCACGGTCAATTCCCCTTCCCCACTTCCCATCACATCCACCCTTCTGTCTGAAAACACTTGCTTAACACTCCCGCGATGAGGACAGCGAATCCACCAGGATGACTCCAGCCTGGGAACACCAGCGACCTCGGTGTAAGCACCAATTCCACTGCTCTGCCAGTGGGGAAACTGAGGCACGGCTGGGCTAAGTGCTTACGGAGCAGCAGGACTCTGGAGCTCCAGCTCTGGGGCTGAGCTGCTTCCTAAGCTCATTGAGTCAGGAAAACCTGCTTGGGCGATGCAGGGAGCTGTGTAATGAATCCATCGGGGCACATCCATCTATCCCAGGCCTGAATTTACCCCAGGCCCTGCCTCCAACCTCCTCCAGGCCACCCAGCAACCCCAACTGAGGGCACTGGGAGCCGCGTGCCAGTGGCCGGGGTGATGCTGGGATGCAGGAGCTGACCGCAGCTCCATGCCAACCGGGAAGGGAGGGAATGGGGGTGGGAGCAGCCCTGGGGTGGGAAGTGCTGACTGGACAGGTTTTCCTTTGGGAGAATGACTCATCCTGAAGATGACACCAGAGATGTTTTAATTATTGAGAGCACTGCAGGCTCCCAGGCTGGGGCACATCAAATGATGCGGCACCGGGGATGAGGGAAGTGCAAGGGGAAAAGGGGGAAGCTGGGCTGGCCCTGGCCTTATTCAATGCTATTTGACTGAGGCTGCTTCTCCCCACTGAAAAGGCCGAGGGCTGGGTTTGGAGTGATGAAGAGCAACCCATCAGTGTCATGAAAGGGGTCAGGTCTCAGCATGGCTGGGAGAGACCTGGCCCTCTGGGCTGCTCCTGCTCAAGGAGGGGGCATGGGGTGGGATGGGAGGGTGGGGTGGCTGGAAGGAGGGCTTGGGAAAGTGCTGGAGGCTCCACAACGTGGCTTCAGGACATAGGGAAGGGGTGGGACTTCTCCTTCCTGCTTTATTTTCATAGAATAATAGAATAGTTTGGGCTGGAAAGGACCTTAAGCTCATCCAGTTCCAACCCCCCTGCCATGGCCAGGGACACCTTACACTAAACCATGGCACCCAAGGCTTCATCCAAGCTGGTCTTGAGCACCATCAGGGATGGAGCATTCACAGCTTCCCTGGGCAACCCATTCCAGTGCCTCACCACCCTCACAGGAAAGAACTTCTTCCTTAGATCCAATCTAAACTTCCCCTGTTTCAGTTTGAACCCGTTAGCCCTTGTCCTGTCACTACAGTCCCTAATGAAGAGTCCCTTTAACCCCAGTTTCCAAATTGCCCCAGCAGGAATTGGGGGCTGCAGGAAGAAATCCTGGCTCCAGGCTGAGATTCCCCTTGACTTTGGAATGGGTGGGTGGAAATCCTTCAGGAAGAGCCTGCATCCCTGAACTGATGAATGCTCAACGCCCCTGGCTGCCCCCTTCCTCCTTCAGAGCCCCCAAACCCCACAACAGAGCCCAAATAAGCCCCAGGATGCCCACCCTGATGAGCAGCAAGGCAGGACCGAGCCATATCCCCTTCCCAAGAGCTGAGCCCATCTCCCACCTCCTCCATTCTTCTGGCAGAGGTAGGGGAAGCGCCAGACGTTGCCCAGCCCCACGGAGTAGCCGATCTGCGCCAGGATGTACTGCAGCTTGCTGTTCCACGCCGGCCGGTTCTCCGCATCCAGCTCCTCATCCCCATCCTTCTGCTTGTCCCAGGTCTCCCCCGTCACGTTGAGGACGCTGCGTTTGTAGTCCACGGGCTCCTCATGGGCCAGCAGGTCGGCCACTGACTCGGTGACATGCTCGCTGCTGTGCTCCCGCTGCGTCACTTTGCTGTTCTTCGGCATCGGGATGGCTCCACGAGGCCCCAAGGGGCGGGATGGGGCGAGGGGAGAAGAGGAACTTCCCACAGGGAATGGCACCCGGGTGAGCTACAGCTCGGGCCTCACCTCCTCTTCATCAGCAGGACCTGGGTGGGGAAGGGGGTGACAGAGGGTGAGATGGTTTTGCCTTGCTGGTGGGACTTCATCACCCCCATACCTTGAGGACCTCCCTTTGAACTGGGGGATGCTAAGGACCCCCTTCTTCATGGCTGATGCACCAGGAGCACCCCCTTGATTCAACATTCATGGACAAGAACCTCCTGCAACCCACAGGAGGGCATTTCCCTTGGCTGCAGGGGCTGGTGGTGAGTGATGGAACCGGGCTCATCACTGTGATGCCTCTTTTCCTCTCTAACAACCCCGGACCAGCAGCTGATCCCCCACAAGGGCTGACATCACATCCAGCACTGGTCCCTCCCCTCCTGGCCCATAGGCAGAGCCCAAGTTCAGCCCCATAGCAGCCTGGAAGCACTCCCGGGCTGGTGATAAACACCCAGGCTGTATCTCTGTCTCTGGACCTTATCAGGAGTGACTTAAAAGCCTGGGAATCTGCAGCTAAATCTTCCCAGGCAGCTTTACAGCAGATAACGGCTGCAAAACAGCAGCTGCCAAGGCGAAGCCATCACTCATCCCGGCTCCTCCACCTTCCAGCCTTGGTCACAGGCCAGGGAGAGCCGTACCAGCCCCAGGCCCGCAGCATCCGTGTGGTTATTACACCAGTTCGCACCGGTTCGCCCACCCCACCTCATTCCCCAAACCGATGGCGCCAGTGCCCATGGGTGCAGAGCTGGGATGAGCACAGGCAGGGTACGTTTAGGAGCCAGGGAGGGAGCGTGGGTGAGGAGCGGATGTGCGTGGTGGGTCACACATTTCCACTGGGGCTTCCTCTCCATACTGGGAGGACTGGGGGTGAGTGACTGCTCCCATCCCGAGCAGGGACCATGGTGCTTCACCAGCTGGGGAGGAGGAAACACAAGAAACCCCACCAGAAACCCCACGTCTTGGAGAAATGGCTCTCCCAAAGGGCCACGCTTGTTTCTTCCCTCTGTCCTCCCTTTCCAGCGGACACCAGGCTGGTCACTGTCCCCTGGAAGGGTGACAGTGATGTGCTGAGGGCCCTGTCCCAGCCCAATGGGACTGGAGCATCACCTCACCTTGAGGGCTTTACCATTCAGTTCAGAGCTCATACAAGACCCAGGTGGCATCTCAGAGGTCATATAACCCACCAGCACAGTCCTTGGAGCAGCCAAGCCTCAGCAGGTAGCCGATGGCTACCAGGGTGGATGATACAGGATGGGTGATGCAGGACGGACCTCCCGCTGCCCCCTCTGCTGAGCCAAGGTACAACTCTCCCATGATTTCCCACAGCCATCCCAGCTCTTCTTCCCTTTGGCCCAACATCCATCTTTTAGACCCAATTCAGCCCCTTTCAGAGCAGCAGGTTCAGCCTGGGCGGCAAAGCTCATTCCCAACCAGCGCACAGCGCTCCCAACCCGGAGGGGGAGGGAAGCAAAGCGTCGGCAGTGGGAATCCTCACCCTCCCTCGCCTTCACCTTGGTGTTATTTCACCCCTGACGAAAGTTCCCCCTTTGCCAGGCCCTGTTCCTATTAAAAAAGCTATTTTTGGCCGTCGGCTGCATCCGTTGCCAGGCAACGGTGTCGGCTCCGCATCTTCCCTGGATCCGGCTCCTCCGGAGAAGCCGCTTGAATTACTCCTTCAAGCCTGGGCCAGCAATGTTTAATTTCCTAACAAGGGCTCATTCATATAAAGCACTCACAGCTCAATCGTGGCAATTACCGGCACGTGGCTGGAGCATCCTCAGCCAGGATGGACACAGACACAGAGGGGAGGGAAGGGCCCCATCCAGCTGCCAGGAAATCAATGGGATTTCCATCGATTTTGAAGCAGGCTCTCTATGGATTGGTGCAGACCTGGCTCAGTCACCCATGAGCTGGTTGGTGCTCCCTGGCTGCTCAGCAGCCACTTCAGCTCCTTCGGAGCAAAGGCAAGTCAGAGCTTCAGGAGGACTCAGCCTCTGGGGCTAAAATCTCTCATTATACTAAGGATAGAGCCTAGAAAACCTGGGATCTTCTGGCTGAGCCCCTGAGCCCCAGAGCCCCATGGAAGGGGAACCCAAACTGCTCCCCTGGACCAGCTCAACCCCTTAGAGCAAAGCCTGGAGATGCCCAGCTCCAGGGATGCTGAGCCAGGCCAGCGCACTGGGGTCAGGATGTACCCCAAAGCACCTCTCCCTGGACCCCCACCTATCCCCATCCTCAGTTTAAGTCCCCCCAGCATCCTTAGGAGCTGAGAGGCAGCAGGTCCTTGAGGAGAAGGTTTCTTCAAGCACCTCCAAAGCCCCAGGGGCTCTCAGCACCTTGGAGGACACCCATGACAGCAACATTCCCAAAGGATTTGGGATGCTTGGCTGCTCTCCTGGGGTGAAGCAAGGGCTCTGTAGGCATTGGGACAGCAAAGGTACAAGCCTTCCTCCCCGTGGGAGAGGCACCCAAACTCAACTAGGGCAGGGAATAACTGTGGCAGGAGCCCAGCCAACACCAGCACAAAGCCACTGGCACACACGGCACAGAGACCCAATCCTGGGAGCAGCGAGGTCAGCGTTCCCCAGCATCCTGCATCACCCGTAAGCTCGGCAGCCCTCAGATGGGAAAGCAGGGTCTGAATCCACCCGGGAGAGGTATTTCCACTCCTTGCTTCCATTGGGAAGGGAACCGGATCAGGAATTCATCTGCCAAAAATAACATCCACCCTGCGAGGAAGCGGCGGCTCAGCTGACGAGCAGGAGCTCGCTGCGCTGGGCAGAGCTAGCAAACCCCTGGCACTGCCAGATGGAGATTCAGCTCCGTTCCTTCGCCTTCGTGACCTGAATTCTCTTCCATGTGCCTTTTTCCTTCCTCTTTAGAAGACAGATTCGAGTCTTTCAGAGCCAACCCTCAATCGCGGTGCCCCTTTGCGCTTACACCACTGCAGCGGGTCCAAGGCACGTGGTACAGGCTGGATTCAGCCCACCGAGGGAAGGGGCAGAGAAGGAGAAGCTCTGCTACATGCAGGAGGTTTAATCCTTACCCTGTGGCTCCTGTCGACTCCAACTGGAGATGGAAACACCCACTGGGGACAGGCTGCTGTTTGGGATGAGTGGAGAGCTCTGGGAGCTGAGGGTATCACATCTCCCAGCCCTGCCTGCAGCATCACGCAGGATTCAGCAGAGCAGCGATGCTCCAAGCCATGTGTCCTGCCTCAGCTTGTCCTTGCTTTCTTGGGAAGGTGGCTGGGGAGCAATAAAGGAGGCTGGAAACATGTCAGCAATGCTTTCAGGCAGGCCTGGGAGTGCAGAGGCAGGCAGGGAGGGCATGGGGATGGACAGCAGCCTCCAAGGAGAGCAGCCACCAACATGCCCTGGGTCTGAAGGATGGGCACAGGGGCAGATTTCTCCTCTCCTATATCCAGCTTCTACACTTACACCCTGTTTGAGTCCATAAAGGGGAAACTGAGGCAGGAAGAAACACAGGCTGAGACTGGGTGTATTCACAGTTAACACTGAAACCATGGGGACTCTCTGCTGGTGCCTCCCTACCCCACCACCTCTCCTTGAGCTGTGACTCTGCTGCACTCAGCTCCCAGGCAAATCCCCCGCAGCTCCTAAAGGAGAGGGGGAAGATGCTCCTTGAAAAGCATCCTCGCTCCATCAAGGTCACAGAGCAGGGAAGGGAGGGAAGTGCAAAGGGCCAGAGAGAGGCAAAGAGGGCCTCCAGGAGCTGGGAGGCCCCTGTCAGGTTTGGGCTGGGAGATCTGAGCATCCATTCACAGCTCCACATCCTCCTAACACCCACAGGGACAGGGAAGGCTTGCACACAGGAACAGGCTGCTTGCTGCAGATGGGAAGGGAAAGGGATGGATCCAAGGTCACCCAGGAAGCCAGGGAAGGGGAGGTGGAGGGAAGGAACACGCATCCCTCCTTCATCCCTCCATACTCTGCAAATCCAAGCAGCAAAGAGAAGGACCCTGGGTGCACAACCTGCCTTTGAGAACAAAACAGAAAACCAGCTCCAGGCCCATACCTGCTGCTCCTTGCAGTCTTGAATGCCTTCGGGATGGGACAAGGATCACCCTGGCAGAGCAGGTCCCTTGGGATGTACCCCACTCCTAGAGGCAGCAAGAAACCAAGGGCAGGACCCTCTCAGCAGCATCCAAACTCCACTTCCAAGCCATGAGCAGAGATTTTTGCCCCAAGCATCGCAGCTCCGATCCCCCCAGCCCTGCTCCAAGGACCTTCCTGCAGCCACCGCCATGAAACCCCCTCTTCCCCAAGCCAAGGCCGGTCCAAGATGCCTCCATCTTCAATCTATTCCATGCTGGGGCTTGCTCCTCCCTGCTCATCCTCTCTGGCTCCACAGGGAAGGGTTTTGCCATCTGCGCTCAGTGGGGCTTCTCCCTTTCTCCAAGTGATCCCTGTTAATCAGCACCAGGCCCTCACCACCCCCAGGGATGACACGCCGTGACTCAATCCCACCAACGGAGCTGCACCCTGGGGTGCTCCCCCCCCAGCACCCACCCATGGAGAGGCAGAGCCCTTGATGAGGGTCAGGGTGACCTGATGGGAGAGAGCCCAGGGTGCCGGGGGAAAGGAGCACCCATAAGAAGCTTCGCTGGAACCAAGCTCCCGATGGTGTGGGACCAAGAGCAGCTCAGTGCCACACACGCGGTGGTGCTGGAGATGCTCTTGGCTGTGTCCTTCCCATGCAAACACCCAGGTCTGTTTTAGCATCGTGACACAGGAGTGGTTCACATTGGCTGATGAATCAGAGCTGCCTCCGCTTCTGTCTTACACCTACTCAAGTGGCTTTCACCGGTGAAAGCACCCAGATGTTATAAATAACCCCCCAGCTCCCATAAAGACAAGTAGAGGTGGCACCACACGCTCCCAGCTCCAGGGGGGTTATGCTCCATGGGATGCTGTGACATTACAACAACTCTCCCCTTCAATACGTGCCAAAAAAGACCTTTGGGAAGAGCAGTTTTGCTGCTGGGTCATGAGACAGACACAACAGCACCGGAGGAGGGGGAGCCAGCTCTTGGGCTTGTCACGAAGTGTATGAGCACATTGATCCGGTGAATCTGCTCTCCTCCCGTGACTCATTTAGTAGCATGAAAACCTCCATCAGCTGCAATAGCATGACAGCCGTCATATGAGCACTCCAGGGCTCCCCAGATGATCTTTTCCCAGTTAGATCCCTCTTAGCTCACCCTCTCCAGCTGAACGCTAGCGACTGAACCCAACCCCAGGCCAGGTTTACCCTAAAAGGCAGCAAACAGGGTGGGACCCAGAGCCCTTTTCGAGCTCTTGCTTCTCCCTCTGGCAATTCATGAGGCTGCTGCTACGGTTGTAAACAAACAAGTCCAAAGAGACCCAAGGACGGGGTAAAACCAGAGCGGCTCCTGCCAAGGCAATGGTTTGCTCTACGTGTGCATCGAGCAGCACCTGATCGAGGGTGAGTTTCATCCTCGTGACTCCAGCTCGGGGAGAACTCCAGGGGAGTCACTCCCGATTTAAACCAAACCCTTCTGTTCCTATCGGCTTCCACAGCCGCCTCCGATTCACCCCAGAGGGCAGCGCAGACCCACATTTCCCTGCCCTTCCAAGCAGCTGAGCTGTCATCAAAGCAGCATCCAGGTTCCTTGACCTAGTCCTGACACCTCCAGAGGAATATTCACAAGAAACTCTATGCCCTGCCAAGAATAACTCCGCTGCTGTGGCGTTTTGGGGGTATTTTTCCTACCAAGACCAGAAATAGTTGCATCAGCTCCTGCTGGATTCAAAGCCCAGGTGCCTCAGGCACAAGGTATGATCCAAGAAGCAAGATTTCACCTTCCAAGTCCTTTCCAAAGAGCTGGGAGCAGATTTCTCAGCTGGTTTAAGCCCCATAGCCCCAGAATGATGTAAATCTACCTCTGGCCAAGATGCCAGCCCAAAACACGCACCTCCAGCAATGCAATACAGGAGAATAAGGACTCCCCACACCCAGTAGTGAGAAATGTACCAGTAACCAGGACCCCAGACCCCATTTTTCCACCTCAGAACCAGACACCTGCATTCAGGGAGCAGCATAGAAATGAAGGGGAAAATAAACCCTCCCCCCTAGCACTTGGGGGGCCAGGGATGAAATATTCATCGCGAACAAACGCTTTCTCCTCTCCCAATGTTATTGTCAAGGTCAACCTGGAAGCTGCATTTCCACCCATCCTCAGGCTCAAAGGGGGTGAGCCCCCACCAACCCCAGTAGGGCAGCCAGTGCCATCCCCTGTGGTCCCACCCCGGCCTCTCCAGGGTGGCTCAAGCCATTTGCTGCCTCTTAATGTCCCCCCACAGCCCTCGATGCCTTCACACCTGGGTGTCCCCCCCACTGCCAACCCCCTCCCCAGCCCGTCCCTTAGCATCTCCCCCCAGCAAGGGGCAGCGGTGGGGGGGGGCGCGGACAGAGGCGGCAGCGCTCGGTGGGACCGGAGACCCTCGGGAGGAGCATCCTTACCTCGGGGTGCTGCGGGTGCCCGGTGGCTCCGGGGGGGGTGAAACTGAGCCGTTCCCGGGAGAAACTGAGCAGATCCTGGAGGAGACGGAGCAGATTCTCGGGAGAAATTGATGCGGTTCCTGCCCTCGATGAGGAAAGGAGGCGGCGGGGCCGGTACCTGGGTCCCGGTGCTGCGCGGAATCGCTGCCTCCGAGGAGGAGGAGGAGAAGGAGAAGGAGGAGACGCTGCCCGAGGGGACCGGAGCCTGCGGGGATGGGCGGCTGCGGGGAGACCGGAGGCTGCTGCTGGGGGGGGGGGGAGCCGGCGGCCGCTTTCCCTTTCCCCCCCCTTCTCCCAACCAGCCCTCCGCTGCCACCGCTCGGCGGATGCGCGCTGGGCTCGGCCCGGCCCCGCTGCCGTTCGCCGGAGGGGAGGTAACTCCGATGGGCTCCCCAATGGACAGAAAGCACTGAAAGGAAAAGCAATTGAAAATAGGAAGCAATAAGTGATGAGGGACACGCAGCCCCTGACGCAGGCTTGAGTCACCAGGGCTGCACGTCAAAGCTGGGGTGCCGGCAACCCCCCCCCCACCCCAACAACATCTCCCTCCGATGAGGGTTCTGGCATTAAAAAGGCAAAAATAAACAGAAACGAGTCCGGGCAGAAGGGGGCGGTTTGGATTTGTCCATCCCGGAGCTGTGGGGAAAAGCAAAACTCCCTTTGTAACATCCCCTGCCCCAAAGGAGCGGCCTCAGGGGGGCTGTGGGGAAGAGTTGGAGATTTGGGAACCCCTGTCATAGAATCCCAGCCTGGTTTGGGTTGAAGGGACCTTAAAGCTCCTCCAGCTCCACCCCCTGCCACGGGCAGGGACCCCTTCCATAGAGCAGCTTGCTCCAAGCCCCTGTGTCCAACCTGGCCTTGAACACTGCCAGGGATGGGGCAGCCACAGCTTCTCTGGGCACCCTGTGCCAGCGCCTCAGCACCCTCACAGGGAAGAGCTTCTGCCTAAGAGCTCATCTCAGTCTCCCCTCGGGCAGGTTAAAGCCATTCCCCTTGGCCTGTCCCTACATCCCTTGTCCCAAGCCCCTCTCCAGCTTTCCTGCAGCCCCTTCAGGCACTGGAGCTGCTCTAAGGTCTTCCCTTCAGGAGCCTTCTCTTTATCTGAGATGTGCAGAGCCACGGCAGCAACAAGCCAAGACAGGCAATAAATCCCAGATGTGATGAGCCTCTTCCCCTTCAGTTGCCACATTGAGCTGCCTTGTCCCTGCCTGGAATGGGCAAAGGTGCAGGGTTAATGGAGCGTGGCCTCATTTCTTCTGGGCAGGCAGGAGGGAGAGCTCCAAGCATCACCCGGGTGCTGGATCCCAGAGCAGGCACTGGCCGAGCTCCCAGGTACCCAGGAGGATTGATCATTCTGTGTTTAATAGGCCGGAAAAGGAAACAGCTCCAAAGGCCAGGAATGTGCATAAATGTTGAGATCCAGGAGCCTGCTTTGGGCTGGAGGATGAATCCTCCATGGTTTGGCTCTTCCCAACATGTTTTTCCTCCCATCAAGCTTTCTCACAGGCTCAGGAGCTGGATTACTGGTACGAGTATCCCCAGCACATCAGGTGTGCCTGGTGCTCTGTTAGCCACACCACACCTGCATCCCAGCACCCTAAGTGAGTGGCAGTGATAAATTAAGCCTCAGAAGATGGATTTGGATTTTGCTTGCTCTGAAGAGCTCTGTGCTGAAAGGTGTGTTTTTGACTTGGCGTTACCGTATCCTATTGTGTTGGGATGGGAATGGGACCCTTTTACCTGCAGAATTTCACCATCAGCATTCAAGGTGGGTTCATAGATTCAAATGTCTCATCCTCTAAAGCTGGCTTAGACCCCCAGCTCACCCTTGCTCTGGTCTGTGCTGCTCCCGGGCTCAGCTTTGGTGTGAGAGACAAGTGGTGTGACTGGAGATGCGGTGCTCTCTGAGCTCAGTGTTGGGTCTGGGGTCCCTGAGTGTCACCAGGCTTTGGGCCAGCCCCAAGCATCACTGGGCAGGTTCCACACTTGAGTTATGGGGGGCAGAATGTGGGTCCTGACTGCTTCCCTTTGTCCCTGTGTGGTCTGAGACAAAATGACTCCTCTGTATCCTTGAAGGGCTGCGAGGGCTGGAGCAGCTCTGCTCTGGAGCCAGGCTGAGAGAGCTGGGCTGGGGCAGCCTGGAGAAGAGAAGGCTCCTGAAGGGGAGACCTGAGAGCAGCTCCAGTGCCTGAAGGGGCTGCAGGAAAGCTGGAGAGGGGCTTGGGACAAGGGATGTAGGGACAGGCCAAGGGGAATGGCTTTAACCTGCCAGAGGGGTGACTGAGATGAGCTCTTAGGCAGAAGCTCTTCCCTGTGAGGGTGCTGAGGCGCTGGCACAGCGTGCCCAGAGAAGCTGTGGCTGCCCCATCCCTGGCAGTGGGGCAGGGGTTGGGGCTGGAGGAGCTTTAAGGTCCCTTCCTACACAAACCAGGCTGGGGTTCTGGGATTCGCTGACTCCTGCTTTCTGCTTGATAGGAGAAGCAGAAGTGAAGGGCAGGGATGCAGTGCCCAGGCTGAGAAGATGAAACTTGGAGCCATTGGGACACCAATGATGTCTCCTGCTCTCCCCTTTGGGACATGCAGGGGACAGACAATGGCAGGTATTAATGAGCTGGGAGAGAGAAACGTGCCCTACATCACATCATGTCCATGGGGACCAAGAGCCCTGTATAGGGATGCTCCCTGCTCTGCTCCTTGTGACTGCCCAGGGATCCAGATGCAGTCAGAGCTGTGGGACAAAGCCCAGGGGAAGAGGGGCCAGGAGGCAGCACAGGGTGTTGGAGGCACTTCTCCATCCATGAAACTCAGCCCCAAGCAGGGTTGGGGGGAGATGGACTCTCCCTTAGCTGCAAGGTGAGAGCCACCCCAGTGCAGAGCAGCATCAGGCTTGTCACATGCACCAGGAAGAGCCCGGTGATGGAGGAACAGCTCTGATGTCTGCAAAACCCTCCTCATTTCCAAAGACAGGGATATATATTGCATCCTGGCACTGTCCCCATGAAGAGATGGGTGCGAGCTTGGGAGCGCTGGGAAAGGGGAACTGCAGAGCCCAGGGGCTGCAAATGCCAGCGGTGCAAAGCGCTCTGCACACCCAGAGGTTAAACACAAGGAGAGGCAGTGACCTTCTTAAGGGGGTCTCAAGCAAAGGGAAATCAAGCAACCTCGTTAAGAGGGGCCGAACCGGGTGTTCCACGTCCCTGCACACCTCAGCAGGGAGCAGGGATGAGCCCGCTCGGGGTGGGGATGGGCGCTTCCTGCGTCACGGGTGACTCGATGGCACCTTGAGGTGTCACAAATCCTCCCCTATGGCTTTAAATACCCCCCCTTGGCCGGTCACCCATCCCCAGAGCGCGCTGCCGGGTGGTAAACTGAGGCACAGGGTGCTCCCTGTGTGCCGCAGGGCTAAACCAAGAGCAGCCAAGGCCGGTACTTTTCCAACGGCCGCCGGAGCAGCAGGAACAGTCCGGGTTAAAGCAGAGCATGAGTAATGTCTCTCCTGGAAGAGCAGTGCCCCGGAGAGCCGGCGAAGGGCTGGTACCACACGCGGAGACAGACGCAATTCCAGAGCGCTGGAGCGGCAGCCTATAAATATCCACCTGAATTTCCTGCTGCTCGCATGTGACCCTGATCCCGCACTTCAGCTGCCATCTGTCACCATGGAAATGGCATCCCAGGGCCACCAACCACTCATTCATCCCTAGGACTGGTCCAAAGGAGGGGGCCCGGCATGGGGGAGGCTTTTAATAGGATGGAAGTTGCCATTCGGGGAGGGAAAATCCAGCGGGAAGGTTTAGATCAAGGATGGAGCCGTGCTTCCCAGTAGGAATGCAGCACAGCCTGCGATTGCAGACACGCTGCAGCCACACCTGGGCAGAGCTATGGGAAGGGAGGCGCAGACAGACGAGCCTGGATGGATGGAGACCAGGATGGACGGACATCAGCAGGGAGCACAGGGATGAATGAATCCCTCCCCTGGTCAGGCTGAAGCATCATGAGGGTGCTGCTGCCAGCACGGGGAGATGCATTCACCAGTCTCCCCCCCCAAACCCCTCCTGGACACAGGTCTTTGGGAGGTGGCGGCTGCCTCCGTAACTCACTTTAGTGCCTCCTTTGCTAGTGAAAAGGCTCCTAAGCCTGGTTTCCCCCCCCAAAGGAGGATGTTAATGGGGTAGGGATTAACAGGACAGCGAGCGTGGTGCTGTCAGTGCACCCAGAAGATGATTTTCCACCTAAGCTGTCAAGCTGACCTACATTCAAGTGATAATAAGCAAAGGGGATAATGCCCTCTGGTTTCTAAGCATGCGTTTGCCTGCAGAGCCAGGGCCCATCAGATGCTGCTGACAGGGAGGGAAAGCTGCAGAGCCTGGGAAAGCAGATTCCAGCCTGACTCAAAGCAGAGGAATTTCTGGCTCTAACAGAGCATTTTCCACCCAAGGCTCCCAGCTCCTTCGCTCACCCCATGGCACGTGCCCAAGGCTACAGGTAAAGGGGTGGCACAGCCAGGATCCCAACCAGGATCTGCCCTCCCCATCCTCACCATCACCATCACAAGGGTGGTGCAGAGGGACCCTCCGTGACTGCTGAGCCCCTTCCAAGGGCTTCCAAGCCTCCTTGGGATGACAACCCCACAGGGTACCGCGTCCTCAAGAGAGGGGTCAATGCCAGACAGCCCCAGCTGGAAACCTCAGGAATGATGGAGAAAACGACCTTTAGAAGCATCATCTCCCACCTATTAGTGAGCATAAAGCCACCAGCCCCAGTGCCCTCCGTGCACTCACTTGGTGGCTGGTCCTCCTCGGCAAGGAGCAGGGAGCAGCTATTTTGGGCCTGGCAACCAGAAGGGTGGCTGGGAGGAGGCAATGAGCTGTGTCTGAGCGCAAGAAGCAAACCACACTGCTCCCTTCAGCCCCAGGGGACGAGCGTGCAGGGAAGAAAGGGGACTCTGCACAATAGAAGGGAACATAACAAAACCCAGCACAGGCAGAGGAATGAGAACCATGTCCCGACGCCCTGGGCAAGGGCTCCTTAAAGCGGGACAGCTTGAAAGAGCTGCTGCTCCTGGCTTCTGCTCTTCATTTTCTTCCCATGGCCGTGTTGTGCAATGGGGTGGATTCAGGCTGGGCTCCATCTCCAGGTGCCTCTGGTTGCCCCTTTTTGAGGGGTTTTGAAGGCTTTCCATGTAGCTTGGCTGATATTGCTGCTTCTCCCCCAGCCAAGTGATGCTCCTCGCTGTCTGCTCTCCCC